TCTTCTAGTTTTGGCATAGTTAATGCCTCTAGCCTCTCCTTGTAGCTCTTGCCCTTCAGTTCTAGGAGCCACTTAGTAGCATGTCTTTGCACCTTTTCCAGTTTGTTGATGTGCTTCTTAAGATATGGGTACCACACAACCGCTGCATATTCTAGCTTTGGCCTAACAAAAGTCGTGAACAATTTCTTTAGTATATCGCCATCCATGTATTTAAAAGCAATTCTGAAGTTAGAAAGCATGGCATAGGCTCGTCGCACAACGTTCTTTATGTGGTCCTCAGGTGATAGTTTTCTATCTAGAACCACCCCTAGATCTCTCTCTTTATCAGAATTCTTTAAAGATTTCTCACATAATATATAGGTTGCATGGAGTCTATGTTCTCCTATTCCACATTCCATAACGTGGCTATTCCACATTCCATCATGTGGCATTTATTAACATTAAATTCCATTTGCCAAGTGGTGCTCCATATACTTATTTTGCCCAGGTCATCTTGAAGGGCATGACTATCATCTAAGTTTCTTATCCTTCCTATTATCTTAATATCTCTGTATATCTTATGAGGCGGTATTTCTGTTCTTTGCTTTTCGCCTTGCATGCCGTCAGGCTGTGCTCACTCTCTCTTCGGAGGGTGAGCACTTCGCTTAGGCTCTGGTTCTTAGGTTTTCATCTTTGTTTTGTCCATTGCTGTTTGCGGAGACTGCTGTCACACAGTTTCTGCAGGCGGCTTCAGCTAGTTGTAGTCCTGTGTTGGACTTGTTGATTCTCCGGGGTGGCCGTTCTCAGCCTTCTCAAAAGGGTCGTGCCAGGGCCAGGATTCCACTAGTCGAGGTGGGCCATTGGTGCCAGATTCTGACCCAACGTTGCCTTTAGAACCGACGTCATCTGGTCAGCACGATGATTACTCTTGGGTATCTGGCTTCTCATAAAGGGCATTGGCCCTTTTGCGGTTCGCCCTGTTGATGATGCGATAGGGGCATTTTCTATCGTGTCATCTGGCCTGTGGTGGCATTGGCTGGCTCCTCCTCCTCCTGCAGGGGGCGGGGGGAGGAGGCGGCTTCTTCCCCTGCACTTTGATCATCTTGGAGTGGGTGCACTTGGGTGTGGTCAAAACGATCCCGTCACTCAGTTCGGTTTCCTGCCTGTCTCTAGTGCCAAAAAGGGACTGTGCAGATCTGCAGTTCATTCTGGACTTGGCCTGTTTGAACCCCAGGATTCCTTGCTCCCTCCTTTCAGATGACCACTCTGTCTCAGGTCAGGCTTCTGTTGGAGCCAGGTTCCTGGATGGTACCCATGACCTCAAGGACTTGTATTGGCATGTGCCTATTCATCAGTTCAGGGATTGGTTAGGTTTTGTGGCGAGGCATCAGGCTTACCGATTTCGTTGCCTTCCTTTTGGCTTCAATCTGGCAACTCGCATATTCACAAGTCTTACCTGGGTCGTGGTGACCTGTCTGCATCTGATAGGGCTTCGGGTCTTGGCCTACCTTGATGACTGGCTGGTGTGGGCTCCCAGTTGGTCCGCTTGTTTGCTTGCCAGGGGTATTTCTTGCCTGGGGTTGGTCTTTCCCAACTCACTGGATTTGGATTCCTGGTGAACTGGAGGAAGTCTCATCTGGTTCCATTTCAGGTTCAGACCTGGCTGGGTCTTGCTTTGGACTCTCTGACTGCTGCCATGTCTCTCCCTCGGAAGGCATTGCTGCAGCTGTGGTCTCGTCTTCAGCTGTTTCTGGGGGGTGCCGGGTCAGCCGGCGGTTGCTCAAGCAGTTGTGCAGGACTATGAATTTTGCCGCGCTGGTCTACTTGCTGGGTCGAGTTTGGCTTTGGCATCTGTTCTGGTTCCTTTGGGGATGCCTCTTCCATTTCTCTCGTGATCACTGGGTTCGTCCTCCAGGGGCCTTGCGTCAGTTGCTGCATCGCCGGCTTCTACTTCTGGGTTTTCGGAGTTCAGTGCCTTGGCACCTACCCGAACCCTCTCGATGTGTTCACGGACGCGTCGTCTCTCGGCTGGGGCTTTGTGACCTGTGCTCACCAGTCCAGCCAGGGGCAATGGGGCCCATCCTTTCATCTGGATCACAGCATGGTGCGGGAATTTGTGGTGGTTTGGTCTTTGCTTCAGAGGGTTCAGGTCGCTCAGGGTTCGCCCATTCGGCTCCATTCGGACTGTTCTCCAGTGGTTCATTGCCTGAACCACGGGGGTTCTTTTTGATCCTTTTCTATTTGAGGCTGGTTGGCTTCAAGTGACTCATCTGCTGGCTTCTTGGGGTTTGGCTCTCTGTGCGATTCATATCCGGGGATTGTCCAATGTCCTAGCAGACGGTTTGTCTCAGTTCATTCCTCTGTCCACAGAATGGGCGGTCGACACCGATTTCTTCTGTTGTCTCTGCTGGATATACGGACTCCTGAACGTGTAACCTCTTTGTGTTGGTGTGGTGTTGGCATCTCCCGATCTATATGGCACCCTTCCCTCACTGCGAGGCTGTCACGGTGGATTCCTTTCGGCAGGTCGCGGTGGTGTTACCTGTACCTCTTCTCCCCGGTCCAGCTGTTGCTTCGGGTTCTGGCTCGGTTTGAGTCCTACCAAGGGAGAGTAGTACTCGTGGCCCCTTGGTGGCTGGTCCCGCTTGGTTCCAGGCACTGCTTGCTTGGTGTACGAACCCCGGGACACTTTCCGCGGCTCCGCCTCTTCCAGTAGGTCGGACTGGTATGGTACACGGCTGGTTCGGTCTTCTCCTCTGCTTTTCGCATCTTGTCGTTTTGACGCAGGTTTATCACCATTTATATGGTGATCATGTGGCTTCATTGATGATGTGCCACCTGAAAGCTTCATTTTGGCAACAGTTTGAAGTTTGCAGGTGTTCTGTCTGCCATTTTCTCTCTTTGTAGGTTATCTTCTATTTCGGATCAGGTTTCTTTTATTTGGATTGGGTTGTCTTGTCCTTTCTGTCTTGGCTTTTTCAGGACCATCATTTGATGCCTAATACTGTCACCTCATATTGTGTGGCGCTGGCAGAGCCGCTCCAACTTGCATTCGTAGTGGATGTCACTTCTGCCCTGTTCCATATGCTTTCTCGGGCTTTGTTTCACCTCTGGCCTGCTCATGTGCCACCTGAGATGTCCTGGTCCTTCGACATTGTGCTCTCATATCTTTCCTCTCCACGGTTTGTGGTGGCCCCTTCGGTTCAAGATTGTTTTTCCAAGGTGCTCTTTCTGTTGGCATTGGCCTCTGGGGTCCGGTCAGAGAGCTGCATTCTTTCCTCCAGTGCAGGGGTTTCTGCTCTTTTGGTCCTTGTGGTAGGTTTGCTCAGTTGCAGCCTTCTCCTTCTTTTCTGGCATGAACGAGATGGCTGCTTTCCGGAGGGGTTCTTGGGTCATTGATGCTTGGTTGGTCAGGCAGGGGGTGCATCATGTGTTGTCTGGTTGCGGTTGTCCGTCGTTATCTGTGACACTTGGCTTCGGTGGCTGGGGATGCAATTTGGGTTGATCAGATTTTCCTCATTCCCTGTTCCTGGGCTTGGGTCTCCCAGGTCGTCTGCAGGGTTATTAAATCTAGCCAGCCTGTGGTCTATCCTTGTGCCCATTACGTTAGGAAATTTGCTGCGTTGGCTGCCGTGTTTGGCAACATGTCTTGGACTGATATTCAGGCGTAGGGATTTTGGAGGTCGAACAGGATCCTAACTGCCCATTATTTGGTTAACGTTCCTGCTCATGGCTGTTCCTGTGTTGCTTTGGGTTGCAGGTGGAAACCAGTTTTCTCAACTTTGCGTTGAGAAGTTTGTGGCGTCCGCCTTTCGGGCAAGTCCCTCTTTTCCTTATCTTTGGTTATGTAGCTCCAGTTAGCCGAAGAGGCTCCCCACAGAAAACCAGCGTTGAATGTAATGTAACGCCATTTTGTGAGAGAGCCCTGGAGGCTCCCTGACAACCCTCCCTCCCTCTGGTCGGCGGTTTTTCGCGTTGTTTGATGCTTAGCTTCCGAACTGAAGTGCTGCGTAGCCTGCGCAGGGAGGAGAGGGTTGCACAGACTAGCGGCGTGGCAGTAGAGTATGACATTTGCTTGTTTTGTTTGTTTCCTTGGGATTGAAGTGAGTTCTACCTCTCTTTTCACATTTTAATTGTCATTTTACCATGTGGGGTTTGTTTTGTTATGCCTACCATTCTGGGTGCCTAACCCCAGTCGATGGCAGATAAGGAAAACCCCCAACCACAAGGGGTTTTTCCAGGGCCATTTCTCTCTGCATCCTCTCTGAGGGGGGGGGGTGTCCAGGTTCTGGCTTGTGGTCCCTGGAAGGTTGAACTTCATGGACTAATGCCCTGGTCTAATATATCACACATTAGCCTGATAGCTCCAGGAAGCTTCTGGGGCTCACCCAGAAAATGGCGTTACATTACATTAAACGCTGGCTTTTTACTTAACACTTTCGCGCTAACCGGACTCACCGGTGAGTCCTGTTTCGTCTAACGCTAACGCATAGTGGACATAAAGTTATGTCCTCTTTTAAAATATTTGTATAAAATTCAATTTTTATCCGATTTACTTTGGGTTTGCTTCAAACTGCGCGCCATGAGGCTCTCTTTCTCACCACTAGGCTGCATTGTACAATAAGTTCATGAAAGGTGTGGATCACTTCGATCAAATGGTATTATTTCCCAAACGGGTTGCAGGTGGGTGACTTTAGCCGTTTATACTGGTAATGCTTCCCCCATATCATGTATTATATGCATATGTCTGTTTAGGGAATTTTATTCCGATCAATGTACAACCAAAAATAACTGTGTGCAACAAGTATAAACTTGACAAACATAACAAAAGTAAAAACATTTCGTGTGTATTTGACGCTCACTGATATGTTCCAGCGTTGTTTTATATTTGGCGCTATTCTATCTTATGCTTTGTTGATCTTTTTTACCTATGGGCTCATAGAACATTCTATTGCGAACACATTGACATAAAAATGAATGACGTACATAGAAAATTAATGTCATGAGAGTGAAATAAGTATAAACTTTCAAAGCGCCATGCCTCGTCCCATCACCGATACCGGGTAACAATTTCACCACTTCCCACACTCTTGCGGGTGGGCAGCATCATTATTCTACGCTTATATTCATATCACCGTGTTGGGAATTTCATTGCGAGTCCATTGATACCAAAATTAACGCTGTAGAACAAGTGTGGAGGTGATTACAATCCCAAGAGTAAAAACATTTTGTTGCTGTTGGGCGCTCACGGCGAGTCATCTTCGTAGTTATTTATTTGGTGCTGGTATCCCTATACGTTTCGTGACTTTTTTTACTGACGTTCTTCTAGAGAATTGTATTGCGAACACGTTGGTACCAAAATGAAATACGTAGCTCGAGAACTAAGGTCATGAGAGTAAAAAGAGTATACACATTTTTGTTTTTACGCTTACGCGGCAAAACGCTCGTTGCACTTACGGTTGGCTGAGTGACCTTCGCGGAGAGTGCGAAAGTGTTAATTGCATAACTTTAATATGTAGATTTCAGTCTTAAAATTATAATAATTATAATGATTTCGGGAATATATTTAGGGTATACTTTATAAAAGCAAAAAAGCCCTATTCTGGGCCCTAATCATCAAAACAATCTAAAGAAACAAGGAAAATAGAGTTTAAAATCTGTGAAAAAATCATCGAAAAAAATGTCGAAGTTCCAAGTTCTGAGAGTTGTAACTGATTTATTTGTATATGATCAATTTAATTTTGGCTTCACATAGTTAGGGACAAGTATGCATTCTCCAGGATGTAAGGGTTAAAACAAATTCAAATAATAAACAAAGGAGGCAAAAAAAACTAAAAACCTAAAAAAAAAACTTCCCCTAAAAAAAAAATATTTTTTTGACATCGCTGAAAGTAACTGATAATAACATTGGACAATATATTTATATGATATATAACAAAATAAAGCATAATAACATAATTACTCATTATTATTTGTGTTATTATGTATTACTCAGCAATGCTATAAAGACACCAGCTGTATATCCACTTTGTGGACACTTCTTACTACTATTCTTCTTCTTTGTGTGTTGGACAGGTGCTTGCATCTCTTTATTATTGCATTATCCATCAGTTCCAGTCAATAGGAGCTGTTCTCTTTATCAACAAAACGTTCTCTTTTTTTTCAATATTCGTCTAAACTCAATTTCTGAAAATATTTTGATGGAAGTTTCACGAAGCTGAAGCCAATAAGTTGGAGATTTGTTTAACATTTTTAAGTAATTTTTACATAATTCAAATATTTTTCAAGCTTATACCCCCCTTCAATGTCACACAACATATGACGTTTTGCGCAGTTTTAGGGTTAAATGATGATTATATTGTTGATTAATTTTATCACAGAATAAAATTAAGAGTATCTTTAATACACTGTATGTTACTACTGTACATGTCATTTCATTATATATATGTTATTATTATATATAATATGTATTATATATATTTAATTATTATATATTATTATTTGTGGATAAAGGGATACATCATTTGATAAAGACTGTGTATGCAAGTTGTTAGTATAAAAAGATGTTCTGAAGACTGATCCATAACACCTCCAGGTTGTGGGTGTGAGTTCAGTGCATTTGGCTGCTGTCCAGACAATGAAACAGTGGCAAGAGGACCAAACAATGCCGGATGTGGATGCCAGTACACAGAATATGGCTGTTGTCCTGACAAGCATACTCCTGCAGCTGGGAAAGATTACAGTGGTTGCCCTTGTAATACTTACACCTATGGCTGTTGTCCAGATGGTGTTAGTATTGCTCAAGGTCCTGATGCAGTGGGTAAGTTCTTTGGAGATATATTTAATATTGTTTTTAACCACCGTGCTGCATCAACTTTATTGTGAAATTCCCCCTGTGTGCATGAAATAGTGTTCCCCCAAAATTATTTTTTCTTCGTAAAATGATAAATACCCGTCCCTGAACATGTCTATGTAAAAATAAATACCAAATTCCACTTACTTTAGTTGTGGGGATGTGGACAAGGTGCGCTGTGACGTCATCAGGGCCTGGTTGCTCGTGCGTGACTCTCCCAGACACGGTCGCGCGGGCCATTCAAGCACCGGGTGCTTGAATGGCACAAATATTTTTCAATTATTTGTTCTATGTATATCCAGTGTGGTTTTATTTGTTTTTTTATCGTATATGATGCATATTTGTGTCCTTTACAATAAGTATACAGTAGAACGTTCATAATATTCCATGGAACTGTGATACATGTGTCAGTAATGTGTCCACAATAAATGTTTATTGTCACAATATTATGTGTTAAAAATTCACTAAAATTACACTATGTACAGTTTCCCACTCTATTTACACAGTAACACACTGTATTACACATTCAGTACTTCGGAAGTGAGTAATAATCAACAAAGTAGTCCATGGTACAGAGTGCGACTTCGCTCTCGTTGCACCAGGTACAGATAGATTTTCGCTTCCTGTTTCTTCATTCTGTGTGCTTGTAAATATTGCACTTATGTACACCCCTTGGCATTAGTACCTGTAGGTGGTATGTAGCCAAGCTTGTAAAACGTATGGTAGTCTTGAAAAGATTACAGGAAAAGATCAATTTGTAAGGTAGTCATGAAAAGATTGCTTCGTAAGGTCCCACACAGGAAGAGATTCAGCTAGCCTCAAAGAGTGTCCATCAGTCAAGAAGAGATTTAGCTATTCTTGAAAATATTTATGGAAAACACCACCATGGAAGCTGCTAACACTGTTCCTCTATGTTACTTGTATTAGATGTAACCCCAATTCTGGTTAATAACAAAAATCGTCAAACGAGTAGACAGAACTCCCCAAAAGAAAAACGAGCAAACAAGCACGACACGAGCCGCGCCGCATGTCTGCACAGCTCCCCTCTCCCTAAGAGGGGGAAGGGGAAGTCCCAGATCCCTCGCGCCGGCAATCCCCACCCCAGATCCCTCGCGCTGGCGATCCCCACCCCAGTTCCTTGGCTGATGGGATTGTGCATGCTTGTGTGGCTCCAGCTCCAGTCTTCTCTCAGTGCTGTTCATTGTTTTTTATTGCTGCTCTTATGGTGGTCATGTGAGCTGGAAGTATTATTCTCAGGTACTCGAACTGCATGTGTTTAGGGTCACCTTCCCTGAGTGCCCTGTAAGTACCGTCCTTGGGGGCTTGGGGTTCTCTTCCACAAGTCGCCTTGGGTCTACCTCTGTTATCCTTTCGCTGCTTGGCATTTGGTCGCCCCGAGTGTTTGGGGGTTTTCCTCCCTTGTTTGCCTTGGGGTAAGTGGTAGTTATTGTACTGGTGGGGCGCGGGGTACTGCGTAGCTAGTTTTCACCTATAACAGCGGCCGGCTCTGTTCCCTCTGGGTACATTATCCACTTGCGTGGATTTTCTTTTCTTTTTATTTTTGCCTTATGGGGGGGTCTGCCTTCTGTTCTCCCACCCTCCTTATATTAGGGTCGTTTTGTGTGGTGGCACCCCCTGCTTCGCCCTCGTGAGTGGACACATTCGGTGGGTTCAGCTTTTAGCAGTTTCCTTGGTAGTTTGGGGTCCGGTTAGCAGTGCCCTGCCTGGGATAACCCTTAGCAGACCCAGTCTAGGGACCCTGGAAAACCCTGTGGGGGCTCTCGGGTTCGATGGAAGAGACCCCTTGTGTCCCCTCTCGCTCTGTGCGAGTTTGAGGGTTGCTCTGTCCCCTTGTCTCAGGGCGACACTCATTGTTTTTGCCTCCGTCATGCTGCCTGTTGAGTTGGTGACACATTCAACCCTGATATCCGAGCTGTATTGCATGTTCGTGACTCATTTCACCCAGACTGACGATGATTTGCTTCGGGTGCAGACAGCACACGCGTTGCAGGGTAGATTTAGGTAATTACAACACGCTCGGGTTGTCGCTTCCCCAGATGTCCCGAGGCTGCCCCACTTTGCCTATGGGGACTCGGACTTGGGGGTGTTGGTCGCTTCAGCCTTGGTTCCATCTGCACACCCTCGTTCTTCCCTTTCGGTGCCTCATTCGGTCTCTCCCCCCCCACCCCCCCGCTTCCAGCCCCTAGGCGTCTGTGGGCTTCGGGGTCGGGGCAGGGTTTAGAGGTTTCTGAGACTCGGGCAGTTTCGGGGGTTGCCCTGTCCGCGATGGCGCAGAGGCATTCGAGTCTGTTTCTCCTGCTGATGCTCCGGGGTCTGACCAGTGGGCCCCTTCCCTTCCAGCTCTTTTGGATGCCCCGGCTTTTTCTTGTGAGTCTCGGGCTTTGGAGGACGACTCGGCCCCAGGGCCTGGAGTGGAGGTTCCCGGGGTTGGGGAGGAGCTGACTTGGGGGCCTTGGGCTCCATTGGACCCCGCCTGGATTTTCCGTCCTTCTGAGCGGGACTTACTATTACAAAGAGTGGAGTTTTCTTTTTCCCCCTCTGCGTACGATTTGGACTTGGGTTCTGCTCCTCCCTGGGTTCGGTTCCATGTCCCTGTGGATTCTTCAATTCCGTCTTTCTGGAGGTCTTCGGCTTCCCGCGTCTCACTGCCTGAGGTGCGGTCGGCCATTGTGGCTTACCTCCTGCGTGACCTGGAGTACCCCTCCATAATGGGTCCTTCTTCATTCAGGTTTGGATTACCGTGTCCTTACTGGGTGCGTTATGAGGTTCCGGGGTCGTCCTGGCTTGCAGACTGCCCCTTGTTTTCGTTGGATGCTTGGGACTCGTTCTGTCGGTCTTGCACGTTTGAGTGGCACGAGACGTTGACAGTGATCCAGGTTTACCTGGGGGCGATTTTGAGCATCTCAATGAGTGCCTTTTCACTCCTGCCCTTTTACGAGATGTTGGTGCGGCTCAGCTCCATGTGCAGGTTCCTTCCCTGTCGGCTGCGCTTGTGGCCGAGGAATTCCGTGCTCGTGGCTTTTTGGCTTCAGTCCTGCGTTTCTTTTCCCTCCTGGAGCTGTCTTCGGATTGGCTTGCGGAGGATGTGGAGGCGCTTGGGGCCATTCCTGGGTCTTGCGCCCTACTTTCAGCTGCTCGTTCGTCGTCTGCTCTTTTGAAGCTGTTTGCGCCGATCCTGCGAGAGGCGTTGCTGCAGTTTTTCGCTGCACGTTTCGCGTGTCGATAAGAGGTCCTCGCTTCCTCCTGAGAATCCGCTTGGGCCCTGGTTCTTAGATTGTTTTCTCCTTTTTGTCCTCTTCTTTTTAAGGTCTCTGCGGTCAAGTGTTATATTCAGGCGGCTTCTTCCACTTGCCGGCCTATGTCTGAATTGTTGGTTCTCCGTGGGTACCCGAAGGAGTCCTTCCCGGCGGGGTCGTGCCAGGGCTCGTGGTTCTGTTTGTCGGGACTAAATGTAAAGTGCTCATATGGCCATTGCTCCCTGCGCCTCTCTGAGGGGGGCCAGATTCTGGCTCATGGTCCCCGGTAGGCATTCAGACTTCCTGAGACTGATGACACCAAACTAACATGGCACATGTCAGTGTGGATAGCTTCAGGGAGCCTCTGGGGCTCACCCAGAAAAATAGTGTTTCAATACATTCAACGCTGGTTTTTGTGGCTCAGTATTTGGTCAATATTCCTGGTCCTAGTCAGGCTTGTATTATCCTGGACCAGGTTTCTCGGCCTGGTAAAATCGAGCTTAGTGTCTAATCTTCGGATTTGTAGTTCCCTCATCTCTTCCTCCTCTTCCCTGATTAGATTGCTTCAGGGAGCCACTGGTGCTTTCCCAGAAAACCGGTGTTGAATATAATAAAATGCCTATTTCTGATGGTGACAGTGTCTCCCTGACTCCCACCTACCCTACCAGATATGTTCGTATCTTATCAGCTCTTGAGTGATCCATGGCTGACCAGAAGCCAGAAGCTTCTGGAACACCAACTGTTGGTGGCTTTGTGCACTAGTGGGTTTGAGTGTTTAATGTGAACCGTTTGTAGAGTATTTTGGCTAATTTGGTGCTTTGGTTAGGCAATCCCTGTAGCTGTCTGTATTGCACTGCTTGTCTCGGGTAGAACAACAATACTCATATTGCTGATCTGACTCATTACGGAAAGCAATCTCAGTAAGATAGCTTCAGGGACCCACTGGGACTACAATGAGTCCCTGAAGATACCAGAAAGAGGCATTTCATTACATTCAAAGCTGGTTTATTTAATAATGTAGTTCCCTGGTAACCACTAAGTTAGTCAACATGAGATTTTACCTCTTACATAGATTTGTTCATCTGTAAGAATATTATCAAGTTATTAATAGGAATATCTTGATATTCTGTAGGAATATTATCAAGGAATAATATTAGTAAATTGAGACAAATTGCTTATTTAAAATACTACTACATTTTTTGTAGTTATTAGTTACCTGATCTGTCACAGTTTTTAAAGGCTTAACCTTTCCCTAATAATGGAAATAATGCCTTTCATCTTATCCTTAGATGATGGATGTTCAATCTGTCCTAAGGTTTCCCAGCGTCAGGAAACTGTTGTACTAAAGTGCCCTCTCCTACCAGAGGACCCAAAACACAAAATGGGACAATATGTCAATTTTGTGAGCCACTACCATTTTCTAATACGACAATTTTTGGCTTAGGTAGAGTATGTCAAAATGAGATGTTCTATTAATTGGACGGGGTTGGGACATTACAATTTTGTTAACATTTTTATAAAAGAAGAATGCACTTTCTCAGGATGTGGATGCGAGTATGAGAAGTTTGGATGTTGTGCGGATGGACGCACACCTGCCACTGGTCCTGAGCAGGAGGGATGTGGCTGTGCAGCATCAGAGTTTGGTTGCTGCCCAGATGGTGTCAAACCTGCCACTGGAAAGTTCTTTGATGGCTGTCAGGATGAAGCTCCAATCATTCCCGGAGGTAAGAAACCTTGAGCTGAAGATATCGAGGGAGGACTGAAAGAAATGTATTGTTTTCAGTTTATGGTTCGAGTCTGCTAACTTCTTAACACCAGTTTTAACAGAGTTCTGCAATATTTTCAAATTCTTTATCATTTGAAATCATTCTTGTCTCTTAAACTTTTGTTTTTCTTCCTTTCTATTTCTTTTGTTTATATTTCTGTTTCTCGTATACTGTATTCATGGTAAAACAGTTTTTTAAATATTTTATGATAGATGGCTGCAGTCACTCATAAATATGCTGTCTGAAGTCAATACTTTTTAATTTAATACTTTTGTATAACAGTCACAGATACTTTTGTATAACAGCCTGTGATATCTTTGAATATACAGTTATTGTATTGTGAAATACTGTATTCATATAGTATCATCTGAATATTACGGCATTTACACTGTGCAGATGAAATGAGTATAGCTGGTACATTATTATATAGATGGATTTTTAATATCGGTAATAATATTTTATTCCCAGAGGTGTGTGGCTACGCAAAAGAACGAGGCCCCTGCAAAAACTTCACTGCCAATTGGTACTTTGACATTGAGTATGGTGGTTGTACTCGCTTCTGGTATGGTGGATGTGAGGGAAACCTTAACAATTTTAATTCACAAGAAGAATGCAAATCTGCTTGCGTTGAACCTGAGGGAATGGGTAAGGCTTCTAGTACAATATATTGGTATTAATTTGTAAGCTTCAATATTTTTTAATATAGAACTGATGTTCAGCTTGCAACTTCAAAGTTCAAATATTTCAGTATAAATACAATGACCAATCCACTGCCCAACTTTTACTTACTCAAACTAATTTACTCAGACTAACCGCTTTCAACAGATTTTGATTGGTCTAAGAAATGTTGTCCACCGTCCAGTAGCTGGGTTTGTTCTAAGGTCACATCTGCTCTTGGGCCTCTTCTGCAAAAGAGGCCTAGTTTTCTTATTATGATACATGAGGTGTTTTTCTCTGCTGCAGACCTTGAGAAATTTGCTTCCTTGTATCCCTCTATCTACACCTGTAGTGAAAATATTGGAAACCTCCTCACCCAGGGAAAGGATTGCACCAGCTGCTGAGTCCTGCTAATTTTTATTTATTTATTTTATTTATTTATTTATTTATTTATTTATTTATTTATTTATTTATTTATTTATTTATTTATATACAAGAGTTCTTACATTCTTGTACTGTACAGCCACTAGCACGCATAGCATTTCGGGCAAGTCCTTAATCCTAATATTCCCCAGAATACGACCTCGCCAAATCGTTTAACAACTAGGTACCCATTTTACTGTTGGGTAAACAGAGGCTAGTTAAGGATTTGTGCCAAGTAAATCCTCCCCAGCTAGGATATGAACCCAGGCCAAAGCGCTCGCAAACTCCAGTTGGGTGTCTTACCACTATACCACGGAGATTGCCCACTACGCCACGGAGACTGTGAGCAAGTACTACTGAGACTACTGAGCAGATACCAGCCCCTTGTCAGTTCTTGGGTACAATAGCTAAAAAATAATAGCTGCAGATTCTGTCTATGGGAATGGAAAGTCGATTTCTCCCATGTAAAGGTGAGGGAGTAGAAAACCCTCTCACCTTTGTGAGAGGGTTTTATGTGCCAGTACGAGAGTGGATTGCAGTCTAGTAGGATCCATAGCAAGCAGAGAGTTGACTGCCCAAAACAATGGCAATCAAAGTGTTTAAAGCAAAGTTTAAGCATTGCCATTCTGAATCAAATGTGCTAAATCCTCAACTAAAAAAAGATGAAAATATGTATAGAGACTGGAGGTCTCCACTGCCATAATGTCAGCTGACAGTACTTCACTGGAGCAGCTGTTTAAGAATTCAGCTTTCTTTTGAACCAAACTTGAAAATATTAGAAACTGAATCAGAAATTTCAATAATTCATTGTGTCGAGGGACAGGAAACCACAGTGTCATCATAAACGTTTTGGTTTTTATCAAGGTCTGCCCCCTCCCCCACTCCCCCAAGGTGAATTACTGACTCTGCCCAGGATGAAACCCCACAACAAGCTGACTAACTCCTGAGTACTTACTCACTGCTAGGTGAAGAAAGGCATTAGATGAAAGGAAATGTGCCCAACCATTTCTGTCCAACCCAGGATTCAAAACTGGAATTCTTGATTGTGCGTCAAGAACAAACCCGACTACTACCGGGACCCTCTAATGAAATGACAATTAGTCATGGTTTCCCATTGTGAAGGACAGGAAGCCTGTTAGGCTCAGCAAGATCCCCATGACACTGCTTACATGTCAGGTGATCTTGCCTCTCTCTGCCGCACCATGATTATGAGCTTTTCTAATGGTTTTGTCATGCAGTTGGAAAGATAAAACTACAGTAATAACTTGGTCCACCACCAAAGCAACCATGCACTATAAGACAAAAGAACGGAACCATATAACTTAACTCCACTTGAAGAGGTAATTTATATTGCTATGAAAGTAAATTTTCACTCTGCTTACTACTAATTAGCTAATTACCCACAGCACCAACCACCACCAGATGGCAACACTGGCTGTCACAACTGAGTTAATGAAGTAAGCAATCTCCATTTAATGCCCTGGCAACCCAAGCACTCACAGTAAGTTGAGATTGAAAGGCAAGAATGGCAGCAGCTGAAGAGCACCTTAGAAATGAGCATTTCATATAATTCAATGCCCCGTTTCTCAACAGGGCTTTGTTGGTTGTTCTTGGTGGGAGACAACTTCACTGGATAATGCAGCCAGACAAGGCTTCAATGGAAAGGCACTCCCTCCAAGAAGGTCAGGGGATGCCTTCCATGGCCCAGGGGTCCACCCAAGGGCAGGCCTAAATGCTTAGCTTTCAAATAACCAGAAACATCTGAAAGAAAGAAAGAAACGGTAAAATACAAAACCAAACGATGCAGAACCACCTTCCACTACACTCTATGAAGGACCACCAGACAAAAGGGCAGAAGGACAAACTAGTTCTGTATAGACCAAGAAACTGACTGCAAAACCTGATCAAAAAGGAAGATGTGCCTGAGAGGCCCAGATCATCAATAAAAGAAAGGTGTAGGCAATCCCAGGCAAAAGACATACAGATCATAAACACATGAAAGGCCAACCAATAACTCCATGACCACAAGACCTCCCATTCTCTCCAAGCAAACTCAACCATGTCTAGTGGCAGTCAGTGTATTGGCTTATTAGCTAACCTTTCGTCTTATATCAAACTGTCATTTGGTTGTGGATTAAGTAATTTCTTTTCTGTCTTCCCTCCACATCCATAATTGAAGACTATTTGAAAAGTTTCGTGTAACATGTAACATAAATCCTTTCTGTGGGGAGCCCCTACGGCTCCCTGGGGCTTATTGGGCTAATGTATGTTATATTAGACAGGGACATTAGCTATGGAGTTCAGACCTACCAGGATCCATGAGTCAGAACCTGGCCCCTTCAGAGAGGTTTCAGGGAGCAATGGCCCTGGAAAATTCCCCCTTGTGGTTGGGGGGTTTCTTTATCTGCCATCGACCAAGGTTAGGCACCCAGAAAGGTAGGAATAACAAAACAAACCCCACATGGTAAGAAACTAACAAAAAAAAATGAACAGAGAGGTAGAACTCCCTACAATCCCATGGAAACAAGCAAACAAGCAAACGTAACACACTATTGCCGAGCTGCTCGTCCGCGCAGCCCTCCTCTCCCCGAGAGGGGGAGGTGGGCCCTGGACCTCACTGCGCTGGCTGCATAGCACTCCAGTTTGTAAGCTAATGTCATCTGGGACAGACGCTTCTGTGGCCTCAGTTTCCTAGGCAGTGTTTACTTTCGTGGCGCTCACTGCCGTGATTTGTGATGTACGGTGGCCAGGTGTTCCTCATCAGTACCGGGGCTGCATGCGCTTAGGGGCTTCCTTTTCTAAGCACCCTGTGAGTACTGCCCTTGCGTGCCCAGGTTATCTTCACTGGGGCATTCGGGAACCATTCTCATAGAGGTTCTTGCTGCTCAGCATTTGCCTCGCCCTTGGGGCCAGCTGGGGCTTGGGGCCCTTGTTTGGCCTTGGGTAGGGACTGATATTGTGCTGGTTAGGATATCAAGGTGTTGCACGTCCTGCTACATACACGGCGACCAGTTCCTGTTGCCTCTGGGGACGGTGTACGTTTGCGGGGTTTTTCTTTTCTTCTTATTTTCATTGCCTGGTGGGGGTCTGCCTAGTGTGGCTATAGTTTCACTGGTAGTGTTTGGTGGCCCCTCTACTAGGCCCCCGTGATTGTAAATGTCACAGGGGTTTTCAGTGTTGGCATCAACTCTTGTCAGTTTTGGGTGTTAACCAGTTAGTAACACCTTGCCCAGGCTTCCCGTAGCAGTCAGCCTACTGGCCCTGGAAAACCCTGTCGGGGCTTGGTGGACCATTGAATGTGTCTTCTGGGTTCCAACCCATCTTGTACGGGATCGTTGGTTGCTGTGCCCTTGTCTCTGGGTGACAGTCGCCACTTTTACCTCCGTCATGTTGCCTGTTGGGTCACTTACACCTTGACCCGGAGTCTTGCGTGAGATATTCTCTGCTTGTTCTCCAGTACTCTCCTGATGTTATTACTGTTCAGAGTACAGGTGGCATCCGGGTTGCAAGCTGGATTAGGTTGCAACAACACACTAGGTTGGTTTTCCACTCGGATGCCCCGGGGCCGCCTCGTTTTGGTTAGGTGCTGTTCGCCCCTTCCCTCCCTGTTCCCGGCTCCAGACCGTCTGTGGGTTTCGGGGTCGGGGTGGGGTTTAGTTGGGGCCGAGACTCGGGCAATTTTCAGGGACTGCCCCGTTCGGGTTGGGGATGGAGGTTTTCGAGCCTGTTCCTCCTGCCAAGTCTTCTGGGTCTTACCAGCGGGCCTTTCTTTCTGCCTTTCCCATGGACTTCTTTTTCCTTTTCTTTAAGGGCAGGGGGCTTGGAGGGCGGCTCTGCCCTGGGGCCTCTGTTGCGGGTTCCCTGGGCTGTGGGGGATGCCAGCTAGCAGTTCTGGGGCGGTTTGCCCCTGTCTGGGTTTTCTGCTTCTGGGCGGAGTTTTTCGCCCATCCAGTCTGCTTGCTTCCCACTTTTGCTGGCATACATACACGTGACAAGAAAATTACAAGCCGCCAACCAGTGGGCAGAGAAGAAGGAAGTGAAGAAGGCACAAAATTGCATCAAATGGCCCACCTCGACATCAAAACTCCAAAGTCCCAGCACGACCACAACGCGTGCCAAGACCCAAAAAGATCAGTCTGCAAACCAACCAGGAAGACCCCCTGAACCCCAGAAGGCAGAACCGGGTCACACACGAGTAAACAAAGTCCCCTGAATCCAAAAAGGGGGCCCAAGAGGAAAAAAAACGCCAAAGAAACCAAAGAACCCAAAGAAACCCGGAATCGAACTAGGGGGAGCCCAAACCACCACATTTGCCGGCGGAGACACACCACAGATAGGCAAAGCCCAGCCCCAGACAGAACCCCCAGGGAAACGGTCAAAACAGATCGAAAACTGAGGGACAAGGTGTGGGAGCAAGCATAAACAGACAGGGACACTGAGCCCAAACCCTAGGGCCCAGACCCAAAACAGACAAAACGGAAAACCCGGTGTAAAATCAACACTCAAACGTTCCCAGAGGAACAAAAAATGGTCAGAAAAAAACAGAAAAGCAAAGAAACGACAAC